CTATAATTCTTAACTTGCCTACAGGAGTATGACAGTTGATTATATTCTTGCTTTCATTTTAATATTCATGACATTCTGCTCTGAATGATTTAATTTAATATTGAAAAGTAATGAAGTAACTGGAAGAGATCTAGCTTCAAGTCACCCCTTCATGGTGTTCACTAGATTATTTTTGAGTCATTTTGTAATTTATAGGAATATTATTCTGAGGATAAAATGAGGGGATATCCCGTTACGTGCCAGCTTAAGTTTCCACTGAATAATATAAATAAAAGAATAATCCTTTAAATAATAAATAAAATTTGGGTAACTACCATTAGAAAATCATCCCGTTGATAGCCTTTGAGATTCTGATCAAAACTGAATGCCTGTGCTGTGATTCTGCCATCCATGGACCTGTAGAGAAATGCTAATATTAATTTATAAATGATGTCTAATAAAGCAGTAAATGGACAACTAACACTGTAGTTATTGAAAAGGAAGGAGTTTGAGTATACAGCAAAAGCTGCCTAGGAAGAAGAAAAGTATTAGCACTGCAAACAAAATATTAAGATAATTATCCCTGGTGTGCAATGGGTTTTATATTATTTCTATAAATGATTGGAACAGGTCAAATTACAGCATTCCAATTTGGGAACTATTCGTATAGAACAGGTTTCTGAATTCAGTGCATGAAACAGCCACTTATATTGTCACATAACATCTGTTACATAGGAGCAAAAAGGTTATTCTCACAGCCCGAGTCTATTCAGTTCTCACTCTGTTCAATACATATATATTTATTTATTTATTAAAAAATTGAGCATTGTGTCTTATCTTTAAATTTGGAATGCCTTATTCTGAAGTCTAACATAATTGTATAGATATATATAAGTATCAGAGTATGAATTTTCTTTTAAAATAAAAAATGTTATTTAAAAAGGTAACTGTCTTCATTTCTAAAATAGATGAGATTGTGTACAAATATCAATACAGTTCAAAAGTGAACAAGCAAAGACCCAGAGAAGTTGAGCTAATGCAAACAAAAACAAGGACAAAGAATATCCAGTAAACCCAGAAGACGTAAACAATGTTTGTAAAATTAGAGATCGACCATCATAAATCTTCAATTGAAAAACATGCAAGCTGAACAATGTAATTCTTGAGAAAGATTTTTGGAGGGCTAAATAAGTGCTTTCAGCAAGAAAAAATGAAAATATCAAAATCTATTGATTTCAAATTATTTGATCCCTGCTCTACGTAATTGTAGTAATTATTATCTTAATGTATATATCTCTATAGTTTTGGAAAAGCAGGCAGTAAGTACCAATCAGAATCTGCTCTTCTGATTCCACATCCAGACCCGATTCCACATCAAAATTCTGATTGTAGCGTAGCCATTTCCAAACCTGATGTTCTGACTGCGAGCCTAACTAGAATCTTATAGCAATTTTCCATGTGTACACACATACACACAAACACACACACAGAGAGAAACTCATCTCCTGATGCCCATGCCTTGAACTGTTATTTCAAAATGATAATTATAATCAGCATCAGCATCATAAATTATCCAGATAATTTATTATCCAGGCATTATAGTACTTGGAGATCACAGAATATAAAGATCTGCAAATAGAATGACTCTGATCAAAAAAAACAAAAAACAAAAAAAACCAATAGTATCAATAGTAATAGGTGCCTTGGTGACAAACCCGAAACATCTGGAGTATCACTTGAACACCATCGACATTGACAAAATTACCACCAGTCAATTGCAAAAGGCAGCTTTACTTAGAACAGCTTGCATCCTGCCGTGATACTTCCAACACCATCAGACAATAGTATCTGCCTATCCCAAGACCTTAGGAAAGACCGGATAGATGGACAAAAAATGCCAAATCCAGTTAAACATCTGGCAGACTGTGCATGCCTCCCAACTCTGCTGGGCAGCTCAGAACGACCAAAGAACTTACAATAAAGCCTGTAAAACTTTAAAAAATAAAAGGGGGCCAAAAAAAAATGTATTTGTGTGAGTTCTTTTTTTTTAAAGCTCTTTTCCACCTTGGTAGGATCGAAGGGGGCGATTTGCCCGTTCACCGAAGTCCAAACCTCCCTCCCCCCCTTTCTCTATAAACATCCCCCCTTCTTGCTTCCCCCCCCCCCCCCCCCCCTCCCCCCCAGTCCTGCTGAGAAAGAGACAAACGGTAGCAGGCCCTCCCCACCATTTGAGTAGGCGCTCCCGTGTGCCTTTGCTCTCCAGGGCTGGAAAGCTTTTCTGGCGGAGATAATGGAAAGTATAGGGGAACTCTGAGCTTTGATCCCCGCAAGCCGACATAGTCGCTCCTTAGCGCTTAGACGCGCCAGCGGTTACCATGGGAACAAGTGTTTTGGGTTTTTTTTCCCCCTCGGCGCCCCCTATTTTGGGGCCCCTCCGGAACAAGCGTTCCGGAGACAAAGGTTCCGTTTGCGTCCCTTCAATAGGGAGACGGAGGCGAAGGTTGAAAAACGCGGTGAAACCAGCCTTGTCTTCGCTGAGGGTGGGTTACATCCCCACTACCAAGCGGTCTCGGAGTAACAGAAGGGAGGGCTCAACCCTCGACGAAAGCTCTAGGTCGAAGAAAACCTCTTTGTCTCTGCTGTTTTGGAATAAGATGCATTAGATGCGATGGAACTTTCTTCTTAAGGCTGCATCGTATCTTGTTCCTATTACGCATTTATTTTCTCCCCCTTACATCACTTTTCACAGCAGGAAGTTTTTAAAATCATAATAATTTTAGTTCAGAAAAAAAGGAATTCACCCATAACATAACAAAAGTAACATGAAAAGCATTCTACGGATGGGGAAAGCCTTCACATTTGATCAATATAGGTTGCCTCCATCACACTATTTCTAAGCAGTGAACATATTAGGCAGAATTAAGGCTAAAACCTGGAGGGGAAAAAAACACAAATCATAGCTGCAATAACTGCAAGACTGCTAGCATTCCCCTTGACAAAACAAAAAACTGCATACAATGCACACGAGGGAGGTTGTAGAAATCAACCCTACGAGGTAGATCAGACCAGAACACTAGAAACTCAACTTTAGAGTTGAGCAGTGGTCTCAAAGATTTTGGTTTCAAAAACCCTTTGCACTCTTAAAAGTGATAGAAGACCCCAAAGACCTTTGGTTTGTAATGGTTATATCTATCAATGTTAGAAATTAAAATGGAGAAATTTTAAAGTATTGATTTATTAGACTTTGCAGAGCCCCGAAAGGGTCTTGTGGATATCCTAGGGCTGCCAACTACATTTTGCAAACAGTTGATTCTTAGTTTGGTCTACCTGCTAGGACTGACATAATGTGACATGGGCAAAATTATATACAGTATGCACCCACTGTAGCTTCCAAGTGGTTTTTCAAAGACTGGGTCCATAATAATAGTCTGAATGGGAGGTTGACAAGGGGGAGATTGATCAGGAAAAGAGCCTTCCAATCCAGGAAAATAATAGTTCACAGTGGGTAAAAAGGATGGCCTCTGATGACAGAGGGAAGACCCAACACCAAAATAGCGATCATATAAATGTGACCTATGCCCAGTCAAAGAAGTAGCTTTCAAAAAATACCTCAGACAATGCTAACCTCAGTCCAGGAAAAGTTATAATTGGCATGATAGACAAATCTATCTACAGGCCCATTGAGCAGTCCAATTGCTGACAGTCCAAGACGAGCGACAAATTGTATATAAGGCTGGGCAAATACAAACCTCATCAAGAACTAAAGCTGGAAAATTCCTGGAATCAGAAAGTCCTTGAATCCACAGCCATTCAGTCTTGCTAGAAGATGAGCCAAAGTTTATTTCTCCTATTCAGATTCTGATAATCCCTAGAGACAGGACCTCATCTGTATTGCTTGTTTTGCCCAAGGTCAAGCTATAATGCTGGCATAATCAACTACTTAGTAATACCTGCCTCATAACAATAGATGACCTCACCTAGCAACCTCATGTAGTTATTAAGTAAAAATGGGGAGTTTGTCAGGCCATGAGAAACCCTACAGACCAAGGACTCAGTCTCTTTCCCCTCTACCAACACAAACTGGAAGGAAGAAAACATCCATAACATAATGCCCTTCACAACCAATGAAGTACATCTAGATATCATAATAGATGGCATTGAAACCTGCCAAAAGAACAAATAGAACTGGTAGATAGCTATCTGGTGCCACTAAATGTCACACAGGTTTCCCAAAATATTTGTAAAAAGTTGAATATATTTGGAACTTATCTTTCCTAACTTTCAAAAAATTAAAAATAAATGCATAGTATACATAATAGTATACATAATATACTTGGATTTCAGTAAGGCATTTGACAAAGTAGACCATAACCTACTTCTTGATAAGCTAAAAAATCTGGCATTGACAGTAACACCATCAGATGGATTTGATGGTGACAAAACACATTCAAAATGTGGTCCTCATTGGAACTACATCTACATGGAAGGAAGCAGTGGGGTATCCCAAGTTTCCATTTTAGGTCCAGTACATTTCAATGTCTTCATAAACGATTTCAATGAGGGAATAGAAGGGGGACTCATCAAATTTTCAGACAAGACTAAACTAGTAGAAATAGCCAACACTGTAGAAGATAGGCTTAAGATCCAGATGGATCTCTACAGACTTGAATACTGGGTCCTATCTAACAAAATGAAATTCAGTGTAGAAAAAATGGATGTTGGGGATCGGGAAAGAGTGCAGAAAAGAATAACAAAGATGATTAGAGAGATGGAGGTTAAAACATATGAAGAATGGTTGCAGCAACCTCCAAGGTCCCTTCCAACTCTCTTATTCTGTTATTTTTGAACTGCTTTGTGGAATTGGGTTTTGGAGGTACTTTATTACAAAGGTTTTAATCATAGACCTCTGCACAGGGGCAAGGGGAAACATGACAAATGATGTGTGGCATCATTATGATGCAAATCACAACATTTGCATGCAATGTTATAGTGCAAGGACAAAAGACTAGGGGTTCAGTTATGACCACATAGCCATTTTTGTATCACTGCAGTTTGTACTGGACACCTGTGGTTCAAGCTTATCTGTCAGTCATCTAGAAGGCACTGGTGCCAGGGTTTTTGTCTTGTCCTCAAACTGTTTCAGCATCTACATGAAACCCTACAGGAGGTTGCCTGAAGTTTTGTGATGGATCTGATATCACTCAGCTCCGTTCTTGTTTATATTCAATTCCAAGGAATCAACAGCGCCCTTGAATGATATTTGTGTTCAACAATTAGCTAAACAAGGGAGGCCACCCTGGAATTAAATCCAAAGAAAATGAAACCAAAGATGAAGATATTATTGATAAATAGAAAACTGAATTTGAGATCAGTGATTCAGCCTGTTTTGGATGAAGTTGGCTTCTGATAGGCGTGCTCCTTATTCTTTAGCTGTCAATGAAACGTTATATTCTATAGAAATAATTTTAAGGGATTGTCTGTCAAAATTGTCCTTTCCTCCAAATGTTCCTTTCAAGGTAAAAGTCTCCTGTTTTTTTGTATCTTTCTCAGTTACCTTAAATTTTCTTTAATGGTAGTTGTGAGCTTATTGTATTCTGTTATATGCTGAGATAAACACTGCTTTGTTTTGTTTTGTTTTTTTGTACTCTTTGATTAGGCAGCGCCATCATTTTGCAGCCACTACAGAAATGATAATTCCTGATTTAAAAAGGCCCTATTGGAAGAACTATGTCATAGTGGGTCTCCATGAGATTTAACTAAGCATGCTAACCTGTAGCCTATGGAAAGATCATTGTTTTCTATGCGCCTGAACTGTGCATGCCATCCATAACAATTTCACCAAAATCTGTGAAAGAGTTTTTTAAAAAATGCAGTTTTTAGTGCAACCCTAGTAAGTATAGTTGTGTAATAATTATTCCCATTAATATGGTGTAATATATGTCTATTTCAGTTTGAAATATGTGTTTTTAAAGAGTTTGTTGCTTTGTTCCACGTTAACACTATTAGCCATCCTGATCATTTTAGGGAATGGGAAGCCTATGAAGTAAAATTAAATAAATAAGTGACTAAGCATGGATCATGTACTCTGCATGAGATCCACCCACTCAGACCCTGCAATGCTGCCAGCTCAACCACTGAGTAAGGAAGACTTTGAGGGTGTGTTCACTTCTCCGACTGGTTGTTCCCGTTCTTTAGGAGAGGAAAGGGCAAGGAAAGGCACTTAGAGGGTGTTGGCAGGAAGTGCAGGTGAATCCACACCTGTTATTGCAAGGGACAATTTACATAGTCCTTAACTTCAAACACGGTGCAAGGAAATGACCATAATTGGGCAGAAGAGCTAGCTACAGCTTACCACTCGTCAGAGGGTGTTTTCACTCCTGTTCAAACAATATAGAAAGAAAAGGTACCATTTTCAGATCTGGCAAAGTAGTTATTCCAGAAACCCTCAGGAAGAGGAAACGCTCTACTGCCCTTATTCCTCAGGGCATTAGATGTGAAAACAATAGATTGAAGGCACATCAAAGGTAGCTGAAGTTTGACTGAAGCAGGCATGCAAGATTGTTGATGGTATACATGGATAACATCCAAAGGATGACGATGTTTCAAGTGTTATAGAAGCTGCTTTTAGATCATAAGTAGAGAAGTAGAGAACTTAACCCCTTTCTTGATCACTGTTAGAACTAGCAGGTAATCCTTTCTTAGCAACTGCCCTGTTTAGCAGCCGTTCAAAATAATAACAGTAGTGAAAAAGTAACTTTACAATCAGACCTCGCATTTACAAATTTTGCATTGTCCTTTTGGGATCATGTGATCAAGATTCAGGTGCTGTACAATGGGGGAAGAGTTTACAACTATTACAGCATCCCAGGCATGTGACTGCCATTTATGCAATTCACAGCTGATATATTATGGCAAGCAGAATCAATGGAGCAACTGGCGATAAAATTGCAGGTTGTGGTAACGTGTCTTGCTTAATGACCGCACTTAATGTTTGCAGACAAAAGTCATTACATTTGTTGTGGTCACATAATGTCTTGCTTAACTAACATGTCCCTTAGCAACAAAGTCCCCATTACGGTTGTTAAATGAGGATTACCTGTAATTGTGATAATATATTTGAGGCTTTAGTATGTCAGAGATGACCTTGATGTTGTGACATTAGGGAAGGAGATTTTCAACTTGTTCTCCTTCTGCAGTGATAGAAGCTTATCTTACTTATATCAATGCTTTCATTCCATTACAACAGGGGTGTCAAACTTGCGTCGTCACATTGTTGTCACGTGATGTATCGCGACCTTTGTGATCATATTAAAAGCAACTGTGTTCTCTTCGCTGATGATGTTAAACTATTCAACAGCACCGACAATACAACTACCCTTCAAAAAGACCTTGACTATGTGTCAGATTGGTCTAACAAATGGCAACTTCAAATCTCAACCAACAAATGCTCTGTCTTGTACATTGGCAAAAAAATCAAAACATAAAATACCAATTAGATAGACATGACCTTGTAGATGACCCTCACTCTGTCAAGGAGTACTCATTTCTAAAGATCTAAGTGCCTGAGCCCACTGTAACAACATTGCCAAAAAGGCATTAAGAGTTGTTAACCTAATCTTGCATAGCTTCTTCTCTGGTAATGTTGTACTACTAACTAGAGCATACAAAACATTTGCTAGACCAATTCTTGAATACAGCTCATCTGTCTGGAACCCGCACTGCATATCGGACATAAATACAATCAAGAGAGTCCAGAGATATTTTATGAGAAGAGTCCTCCATTCCTCTAACCGCAATAAAATACCTTATGCCATCAGACTCCAAAGTTTGGGCTGAGACAACTTAGAACTACGCCGACTTCTGCCTGACTTATGCATAGTACATAAAATTATCTTCCACAATGTCCTTCCTGTCAATGACTACTTCAGTTTCAACCACAAAAAATACACGAGCAAATAATAGATACAAACTCAAGGTAAACCGTTCCAAACTTGATTGCAGAAAATATGACTTCAGTAAGAGTGGTCAATGCCTGGAATGCACTACCTGACTCTGTGGTTTCTTCCCCCAACCCCCAAAACTTTAACCTTAAACTGTTTACTGTTGACCTCACCCCATTCCTAAGAGGTCTGTAAGGGGCGTGCATAAGTGCACCAGCATGCCTACCATCTCTGTCCTAATATTCCTTTTTATTTACTGTTTTCATGTCTTCAAATTATGTTTATACTTTTACCTGTTATCTTATATATCCTTGACAAATAAACTTATGATTATGATTATGACTTCCCCCCTCTTTGCTAAAATGGGGGTGAGCATGGCCAGTGCATGATGCATCCAGTCCGAGTTTGACACCCCTGTAAGGGCTGTTAGGATAGAGGACTGTGGATCAAGTGGACTGTACAATTAATAGAAGTCCAGCCAAAATCCAAAAAATATTTAGAAGATAATCAGGTGGGATACTTCAAACAGTCTGGCATTGAAGAGAAAGAAGGGTTTGTGGTTTTTTTTGCCTTTACATAAAAAACCTAATTGCAGATTTATCTTTTCTTTCTCACTTGTTTACATTGGTGCAAATAAAATTTATGAAGTGCTACAAAACAAGGTGCCCAAAACTATACACACTGTGCCAGGAAATCTCAGTTTTGTTTTGTTTTAAATGCTGTGCTTGTTCTGAAAGCAAACAAGTAAGAGTTCCAAAATATTTTACTGTAGCAAAAATATGAAGACCCATCTTTTCAACATGCCTAAATATTAACAGAATCAAAGAATTGGAAAGATAATTCAATCCAGCCCTCTCCCAATGTAGGATAATCATTTTTACAGCATCTTCTGCCATTGGACTATCCAGCCTCTGCTTAAAGATTTAACCAAAAAAAAAAAAAAAAAATCCAGCCCATTTTTGACAATATAGAAAGAAAATTATTTAAAATATTCTAATGTTCTGTTGAGTCAATTATTCTATTTAAATACATTATCTATGCCTCCTTTTGAAAAACCTTTTATTTTGAAGTGAACATAATCAAAGACAGATACAGTAGTGACATGTGCCTTTAGCTAGTTGACTCAGATTTCCCCAGGATGAATCCTCAAATTCTGAAGCCTATAAAATTAAGATCTAACCAAAGTTGTACTAAACTGGCAGCAATTTACGTGACCTGGAATATAACAATATTTTCAAATCAATTAGCAGATGGAACAATGTCCCCTGCTTATAGTCCCACTTATGGGATATTGAATTAATCTTGTCTGAAGGTGACAAAAGCAAACAGTGATAGAACAAGATTCATAGCAAGCCAAATGAAGACAAGCTAATTAGTAATCTGAAAGCCAGCAACCCAGAAATAGTCTGAAGTTGTGAGCACATTCATATCTCATAAACAGTCTGAATCCAGGGAGTACTGTAGTTATGCTTCCTGCTAATTCCACATTTCCGGCATTTTGCTACAGAAAACACTGGCTTGGATCCAGAGTTCTCACAATTAGCATCTGTCTGACATAGCACTGTTATTGTAAGAAATGGGAAAGTGATTTGATTCCTGACCCGTTTCAGCACCTTGAAAACATACTTTATTGAGTTGCGAGAGCTTCCAAACCAGGGTGGAAGGTCTCACAGGGGGTATACCCCCGATCGGTGAAAATCAGACAGCATGCTTTAACTGTTTTAACTCTTAACTTTAACATGTTTTAACTTTTGATCGGTTACAAGATGGGCAACTGTATGTTTTAAGTAAATAAATAAATATTGCCTAGAAGGAATAACCTCTGAATTGCACATTTTTTTTTTCATGAAACCAATAAAATATAGAAAGGTACTACATCTGCATCTGTTATTTATACAATGACATTTTGGAATTAACTGATAATTTTTAAAAGGAATAAGGCATTAAGGTCACTTGATATTCATCAAGGATCTGAAGTACCTGGAAGAAGATTGATTTTTGAACCCCTCCTCCAATATATTTTTATTAATCTTTGAAATATAGTTTAAAAAATTAATTGGAAAGTTTCCTTTCCTTCAGGAGGTGACTCTACTCCAATCAGTTGAAAAGAATCTTGGAGTTTAATCTATAAGAGCTCAAATGATGGCTAGATTTCCATGAAGATACTCTGAGGATAAATCTAAACTCATTTGTGAGCATGATGGCATATTTCATTCTATATACATTAACTGACTATTTTAAAGATATATTTTCATAAAGATTTAAAAGATTACTAAGTTTTTGTTTTGTGGGCAGGAGTTTTGCTATAATACTTGAAATATTATGATGCAATACTATATCGAGAAAGCACATGGAAGGGAACTCTAAAATCTTGAACAATGACTAAAAATAATAGCTGTATTCAGCAAAAAATCTTATTTCTATTTATTGAACTCCCCAAAGAATATTTAAAAAAAACAATTTGGTTTCAATTTATTATATGTTGATACAACTTTGGGGAAAACCCTTGTTAAAGATGTAAGTATTAAGTGGAATCCTATTTTTTATGCCAAAGATGGATTTAATAGATGTGTTGTCAATTTTTGAAATGTCCCTCTGTTGCAGAAATGAGATTATGGCATGTTTCCACGTAATTTCAATATATGTTCAAAGAATTGAGCTAGCTACTGATATATATTAGTACTACACTGAGTTTTTAAAGTGTTCTCACTATTGTACTGACTATCATCACTTCTGTAATTAGAACTGGAACAGTCAAAATGGGAAAGAAATTATTAAGTTGGTGAGTTTTTTTAGATGATAAGAGTTTCATTTTCTACAACACGTGTTTTGAAAATGTAGCAGACATTTATTAGCGCTTAATGAAAACCATAAAGTTAGGAGATGAACTCATACATAATTTTAATCAGTAGCAAAATAATTTCTTTTCCTTTTAATTAAAATTTACAGTAAATTTACAAACATTGCCACTCATTTAAAATTGAGGTATTTCCATTCTTAAAAAAATACAATACATTTTACAGTAAAGTGCATATGTAAAATAATTTTTGCCCTAAATGTAAACTAGGTAACAAGCAGTCAATACTTGTGTTACATCTTTATTTTGAAGAATTTTTTTTAAAAAATAGCATTTAAGGCACATTGCAAATAATTATGTTACAAATATAGCAACTGAGAATATATTATATAAAACTCAGTTCAGCAAACTTTATTAGGGCCAAGTCAGTATCTTCTCTGCTTTAGGCTATGGGTGGCATCCAATATGCTCCTATACCTTTGCATGTGAGGCATTATATCCATGTATGAGGGAGATGTGACCTGTAAGAATAAAAAGCAAACATTAAAAAATATACATTAAAACACCCACAGAATTGTAATGGTAAGAATAAATTCCTTCCTATTACTGTATAAGGCATTTGCAAATATGAATTTAAACCCAAGTTAATATAGATAATATATTTGCTAATATGGTAGTAGAAAAATAAAATACATTGAAGCCAGCAAAGGACAATCCTAGGAAAAATAATGATGAACAGAAGTTGGAAAGTAATGTATCATATAATTTTATATATGTCTGAGTCAAATTGAATTTATTCCAAATATATAAACATAGATTACAACCCAAATTAATAAAGCTAACTACTTACTAATATTTGCATGGAAATAAAGAAAATATAGGAAATCTGCAGTTCAGCTGCAAGTTCAATATACATTTATTTCAAATGTTGAATATCTACTGAAATTTGTCTTATTATAATAATACCAATATAGTTTTATTCTTTCTTATTCTCTATTCCCAGCTGGTAATTTTACTTGGAACTTAGTCCATTTTAATTATACCACTGGTATAATGGGTAGAATTTTTTTCTAGATAAGGGACATAAAATAAAACCTATGGGCCAAACTTTCTAATTTTTTATGGCTATCTCTATTTTTTAATTTAGGGGAAATGATGCTTAAAGGGAATTCTAAAATAGAGGTCTAATTCAGTTTTTTGTTCAACTTTCTCCCCCTCTTCTCCCCCTTAGTCGCCTTTACTATCTAATATTATATTTAGTTAGGGCTCTAACAATATAGTTTGGCAAAATATATGTTCTCCCTTAAGAGTATTTCGTCTGAAATGCTGATATTGCACAAATAAACCTGCAAGGCTCAAGTGCTCTCTCTTTCATTGCAAATAACTCAAGAAGGATCCAGACTGCCTGCTCCCAAATTTGATCTTTTATTCCCAAGCAGGAAATTGACTGAAAATCTACTAGCGTCCATATTGGAGCAGGTAATATTTGTGATTTGCTTTTCTGATTTTCTCACTCTTGGTTTTCCCCTCCCTCATATAATGGAAGTTAACTATAAAAATATAGGTTTTTTTCTTATTAGGAAGCAATTCCATTCTCCCCCTCTTCCTTCCTTCCATGCAGACCTCATTTCAGTTGCTAGCTAAATTGCTGATCTTCCCATTAAAGTTCTGTTTGTATTACACTTTTCTTACTTTATAGTAATAAATTATGTACTTTGTACTGGTCTCTGGCTCGTAATAGTAATTACCCCTCTCTCTCCCAGACAGTGTGTACAGCCTAATTTCATGCGGACTGTTGTTTTTTCTCCTTTATAGCCCAATTCCTCTCCATATAAAGTAGACACATAAGCACATGGAACACACATACACATACTTCATGATTACAATTGATTTCTTCTCTACTGTTCTTTTTAACTGGAATCTGGATATTGAAAACTTAGGGAGTTAAGAGTCAGTGAGAGAAATGGACAACAAGCAGAAATACAGAGCACATATTTGGTCTGTTGGGGTTCCCACTTGAAAGGGAAAATAAGATTTGAGGATCTCACATAGCAGCAATCATCAATTCCTTTAGAACATT